CCATTAAGTATGTGTGTGAGGGAGGTTTCCACAAAAACTTGTATAATTTCATATATATTGTCAGCATTTTCTGATGTGAAAATAAATCAGAAGATATATACAAGATGTTTCATTCTGACAATGCCTTTGAGTTCTTTGAATCATATCTGTAGTAGGCCCCAAAACTAATCAGTTATGTTGCGTAGAGCTTAAGAATGATGATGATCAACTCTTTGGAACAGAATGATTACTGTATAAGACTCGTCAATTCTTTTATATTAGATATTCACTTTATCTTATAGTTGCATTTTTTGTTGTTGTATTATTTCATCTTTGTATTATGTCTTATTTGAATTTTCAATGATAAAAGATCTATAAACCCTCTAGAATAAAAATGAAATCAAATAATGTTTTAAAATCCAAAGTTTTAATTTGACTTACAATTTGTAAATGTCCATGGAGAAAGATAACACACAGCAAACATTTCATTACAAACATTTCTGAGACTGAAGTGTATTAAACCAGCAAAACTGGTATCTGCATTTGTTTGTTTTTCTTATATCTAATAAATTTGTTCTGAATGATGAGGTGGAGCAGTGAAGATTTATACAAACGAAGATTGCCAAGAAGCAAAGCAAAAGATGCAGAAAAGCCTTTCCACTTATCTGTCCAAGATAGGAGCCCAAGATGCAAGTTTTCTTTCTTAAAACTCATCCTATTCATAACCATATGCGGCACTTTTGTAACACTACTCTATTCTCCAGAGGTTTATAATACCAACCATTTATCAAGCTCAGGCTCTAGGTAAGTAAATGTGTTACTCTACACTTCCAAATGGATGCAAAGATCACCCGCAAGTAACCCAAAAACTTCATTTCATTCACACTTTTTCTAACTTTAATTCAATAGCCTTTTAACGTCTCACTATGTTGATGAGTTTGGTATCTCTTAAATTAAACCTAGAGGGGAAAGTTATAACAAAAATTCATCATTAAGTATTTCATCCAAATTTGTAGAATAAATACAGTGATACCTTCCAAGTTTTTCCAGATTATACACTACATTCCTCCTTTTTCTACCCCTCCATTAACCTTCTTAATTGTTAGAAAAGTATTGCATTAACATTGTTATACATTCACTGCTTCTTAATTGTATAAAAATATTACATCATGTATGTATCTCTACAGAAGAAAACTTGTTATAACTATTAAAAAAGCAGGAGAATTGTGTTGAATTAGAATTTTATTTGGGTGTATCAATGTAATTTCCTCAATAAATAATACATGCTGTGATAGTGGTGTAATGTGTGAATGTATCTCCTAACTTTACGAGCAGGTGGATATGGGGTGGTTCAGATCCTCGTTACATGTCCAATGTAGACACTCACTGGGATGACATACTGAAAATTACGGATAAGCTGACAGGGGAAGATGAACTTCAAGGAATTGGGCTTGTAAATTTCAACAAGACTGAACTAGCTCATTGGGAGCATCTTATTCCTGACGCAACACATGTTGTTCTGCCTCTGGAGTATGCTGCAAGAAATGTGACATGGGAATCCTTGTACCCGGAATGGATTGATGAGGAAGAGGAAACTGAAGTTCCTGTCTGTCCTTCTCTGCCTAGTCTTAGGTCCCCTGGCATAAGACTGAACCTCATTGCTGTGAAGCTTCCTTGTAGGAATGGAGGGAATTGGTCTAGAGATGTTGCTCGTTTGCACCTTCAGCTTGCAGCCGCTGGCCTTGCAACCTCTTTCAAAGGCAACTACCCCGTTTATGTGCTCTTCATTACCAACTGCTTTCCAATACCAAATCTGTTCACATGTAAAGAGCTAGTTGGACGTGAAGGGAATGTGTGGTTATACAAACCAAACTTGAGTGTCTTGAGAGAAAAAGTCCAGCTTCCAGTAGGGTCTTGTGAACTTGCACTTCCTATGAGAGGCAAAGGTAAGTTATACACTCTTTCTGTTCGTTGAGTTTCTCGAGACAAAATATCAGTTACACGCCTTCAAAAGTAGTTAATTGTTGTTACTTTCTAGCTTTCACCAACAAGGGTGAGAACTAGTCTGTGATTGTAATTTCAACTGCAACATTTAAGCTTTTTTGGTTCTCTACGACCACAAACAAAAACTAGTTTACATTTACATGCACTTTCTTGAATTTTGATGATTGCTGAAACTCCCAAGTCCCAAAGACAATAAACAGAAATGAAAACTCAGGAACAAAGAATTTGACCCTTCTCTGCCATGCTTAACTTACTACATTCTCATCCATGATCATGAAAATTAAAATGTCATCTTCCTAACGCGATTATTGCATGTACTACTACTGCTATCATGTTTTGTCATTATATTTTGTTATCACGAAGATGATACTAAAGAAACTGAATTAATTGGAAGCAGAGTTGGCTTACAATGGGAATGCTCCTAGAGAAGCCTATGCAACAATTCTGCATTCAGCTCATGTGTACGTTTGTGGGGCTATAGCTGCTGCACAAAGCATCCGCATGTCTGGATCAAGTCGAGACTTCGTAATACTTGTTGATGAGACGATCAGTGGCTATCACAGAAGTGGTTTGGAAGCAGCAGGATGGAAAGTTAGAACAATACAAAGGATCAGAAACCCCAAAGCTGAAAAAGATGCTTACAATGAATGGAACTACAGCAAGTTCAGGCTATGGCAGTTGACAGATTATGACAAGATAATATTCATTGATGCAGATTTGCTCATACTAAGAAATATAGATTTCCTATTTGGAATGCCAGAAATCACTGCCACCGGAAACAATGCCACTCTTTTCAACTCCGGTGTCATGGTGGTTGAGCCATCAAATTGCACATTCCAGCTCCTGATGGATCACATAAACGAGATTGAGTCCTACAATGGAGGGGACCAAGGATATTTGAATGAAATATTCACATGGTGGCACAGGATACCAAGGCACATGAACTTCTTGAAGCATTTTTGGATTGGTGATGAGGAAGAGAAGAAACAAATGAAAACTATGTTGTTTGGTTCGGAGCCTCCAATTTTGTATGTCCTTCACTATCTAGGTGTGAAGCCATGGTTATGCTTCCGGGACTACGATTGCAACTGGAACGCTGATATCTTTCATGAATTTGCAAGTGATGTTGCACATGCAAAGTGGTGGAAGGTGCATGATGCAATGCCTGAGCTTTTGCAGCAGTTTTGTCTGCTGAAATCAAAGCAGAAGGCACAGTTGGAGTGGGATCGTAAGCAGGCTGAAATAGCAAACTACACAGACGGGCATTGGAGAATAAAAGTTAAAGATAGACGCTTGAAGAAATGTATAGATAATTTGTGCAACTGGAAAAGCATGTTGCGGCACTGGGGAGAGACAAATTGGACTGATGATGAGTTTTATACTCCAACACCACCTACCATTACCGCAGCGTCTCTTTCTGCTTTATGAGGTGTCAGTTGTACTTTGCAATTTCCTCGCATATCTTAAAACTTCCTAGTTTTAGGAAAAAGGGATGAAGGAAACATTTTTTCCTCATAGATATTTTTTTATGCATAAAAATGGTGGTCTGATTCTGATCATTTATTAGAGATTTCACCACAAATCAGTTCTACATGAGTTTACCAATAAAGAATGATCGTAATATATACAATAGCTCTAAGATATGCATGTGAGTACTAATATTTTGTTGTTTGAAGAGTACAAACTCTAAAATTCAAAGATAACTAACTGTACCCAAAGCATGTTGTGCCAAATGAATCGAGAGAAAGCAACAAGACAGCGATAGGAAATAGGTAGTAGGTAGTGTAAATACTGTACAACCACGAAGAATTTCATCACTAACTGCTCTTAAAGTGTTATCATGAGCCACAGCTCCATCACCAATCCACAATAAGGAGCTCCACCAATATTATATTTGGCCCATCCACACTAAGAGGAGGTTCCAATTAACTTGTATAACCCGCACTACAACTAAAACAGTTTTTAACAATATTCATTCTATTTTATCTATTCATGTTTATTGATCTCAGCATATGATCATTGAATAATAAAATATTAGTGTCTTTTTCAACTACCATGTGCACGTGGTTGATCTTTTATTTTTTTTAAAGCTAGTCCTAAGTTAAATCAAACATTACGACGCAATATGTTAATAGGGTTTAGTAACAAAAAATATACTATTATTTTACCTATATACGACAAGAAGATTCTACTTTTTAAATGAAGAACTAAATTCAAGGCCCCAACCCGTGAGATGTGCAATGATATCCAAATGTAACCAAATCATCGTACCAGTGAACGAAAGATGAACATGTGAATTGCTTTCAAAACGTCATAAGACCTTTCGGCAGAATGTGACTGCCTGCTAGATTTGTTCTACTCCATTAAAAAGTACATCATGTCGGCAGGTAGATCTAACTATAACATTAAAGATTTCACATGACATGCAATCAAAACTGGTTTCTTAGGGTACCAAGTGCTTTATGTACACTGGTTGACCACATTTAAGTTCAAGCACTTGAACGTTAGTCCATCGCTAAGGTCTTAATGACAATATGGGAACCGCAAAAAAAGGAATAAAATAATTAGCTTCTTTGAACAAAGGGGTGGGAGTTGATACTAATATAAATCATTGCCATTTTTCCACGTAGCTACTGTGCTCGAACAGCTCCTTGTAACAGCTCTGTAAATTGGTAATGATAAAAAGCCACAATGACCATTATATCTATAATGGGTTTTCCTTCCATATCCTAATTGCCTAGTTACACAGAAGGAAATTGTTTTGTTATGTACTATAATTTCTTCATCAATTCAAATTTCTATAGCAGCCATCAGGCAGAAAGAATATAATTACATTCAATCGAGGGTCTACCCGAAAAAATGAGTAGGATCAAGTGTCAACCCTCAGTGTCTGTCACCACAACTGACATGGCATTTGAATTCTTTGGATATCTTCATTGTACTGGCTTTCCTAAGTGGATGAGAAAAAAAATATCCCACTTACTAATATGATGACTCCTCTCACTCCGTAGGATTGCCTAATGAGTGAAATGATGATTCCAATCATCTCCTTGAATGAAACTCTGCACTGAATACGAGAAGACGTGCTCGGCTGGGACCTCGTTACTCCAGGATACCCTCCCACTCAGATTAGAACCAGGTCCTGAGTTCTCATATTCCCCATAGTAAAGCGTTTTCAAAGCAAAATCCCCAGACCATGGCATCCAGCCCTCTGGTGTGATAAAGGCTTCCAAGTATGAATGGATGAAAACTGTTCTAGAATACTCCTTCCATGGCCTCCCCAGATAGTTTCTGTGAACTTTAGGCTTGCTATAATAAAATGCCATGTATTCCTCCGTACCATTAACTATACAGTTCTGGAAAACAAATCCTGTTGACTGAGCAGGGTCAGTCCTGCCTTGTGCAGTAATGGCATTGCTCTCACCCTTCTCTGGTCTGCCTTGCCGGGGTTGGACTAGGATTTCACAGTCCTGGAAGATCGCCGCCGAGTTCCCAAAGATGAAGTCCACGTTGCCTACTATGCGGCAAGATTTATAAAATTGGCGCAGGGAATGTGCATAAAGAGTGTCTTGGTTACCTATGAATTCACAGTTCTCAATGACAGAAAGATCACTGTCTGATCTGAAGGCCACTGCTTGGTGAGCTTTAGCACCAGCCGTGTTCTGAATCGTGAGATCCTTTGCTATAAATCCATCCCCGGCAACTCCTGCCATATCAAATAATTAACTCATTAACAAAGCTGTGCTCCATGCATCTCAATGTCATCCCAAGTTATATATACAGAAATAAAATAAAAAATAAAAAAATGCCGTACTTCATACAAGTTTCCGAAACTAGTTAAAAACCTCCATTTTATAACTAAATAATTAGTCTCACAGTCATATCCCACTTGATGTTGAAGCAAACCACATAAATCATATCACAGAAAGCTTGAAACTTTTCTTACCTTATTCCAACATAAACAATTGCTATTTTTTGTAGTGAACTCAGGATAGAGAAAAAATATAGGTATAGTTCCTTGTGTTCTGTAATCAGAAAATTAGTGTTTTGTCGTAATAATCTATATTTATTTTTAATACAAATTTCCATTATGTAGATTAGCAAAGAAAAATTCAAAATTTGATCGAATAAATAGATAAAGAGTGAAATTTTCATATCCGTTTAAAAAGTTGGCTTTCTTTTAAGAGATGTTATTCCATTAACAAACCTTATTGAATCTCTGATAACGTTGTTATATAAAGAACTAAAAACATCGCTAAATTTTCATGCAACAGAATTTCTATCCATTATCAAGTGTTACAAAACTTGGATATAATTTTTAAATAACTTCTACTATTATTCTCCCATGAAAATAGAAAGTTAACATCAATTATCGATATTAATCTTTATGACGAATTTATACGAAGTAGATTATAATGTGGAGTGAAATTCCAGATAATATTAAAAACAACACGAATCTCAAATTGACATTTGGTGAGAAAAGCGTATATAAACAAAGGCATGTAAACGTTTACGAAACAAAAGAAAGAAACTGACCTACAGTGGCAGAGTTGTAGGTGGTCACACCCGGCTGGGCCACGTTAGCAGATCCCGTGATCACAGTCTTACCAATGCCATCCCCCAAGAACACCACATTCTTCTTCCTCAACGGAACCCTCACCCTCTCCTCATAAACCCCTTCCTTTATATATATCACAAATCTCCCTTTCGCGTTATCCGGCGCCGCGTTAACCGCTTCCTGCACCGTCCCATAACACCCGCCACCCTTACACACCGTAACGTCCGCCTTCAATTTCGACGGAATCTTGGGTCCCGCCCCGAGTCTCCTCGTCCCGGACGGCTCCCAGAAACCGTCGCGCTCCGTCATTGGCGGCCTCCACAACGCGGTGTCGTTTCCGAAGAGGTCGTAGGAGACCATCATGCTGAGAGCGTTGCTGAAGAGCGTCACAAGAGAGTCAAGGAATGTCATCGTTTCGGCGACCTGTGGCGTGTGGTCGATGTACTTAAGGCCGTTCCAGCAACCGTACTGGTAGCCGAGGGCAGCGCTCATCCAGGCGCGCGCATCCTTGATGGCGCCGCGCTGGAGCGCGTCGGCGGTAAGGGAGGTGCGGTGGCGGGAGTAGTGGAGGACCTGGAGGCAACTTTTGGCGATGGTGGTGCGGGTTTGGTTGCCTTTGGAGGCGCCGACGATGGACTGCACCATGGATCGAGCGGTTATGAGATTGGAGGAGGAAGCTTTGATGGCGGATTGGATGATTTTGAGAGGGGTGGGGTTGGGAGGGAGGTGGGGGCTGAGGGAGTGGCGGCATTTGGAAGGGAAGCTCGTGGCATTGCAGACTTGGTGGATCTCCACGGCAGAGGATTGAGGGTGGAGTTGAATGAAGAAGAGGATGAAGAGCAAGAAGAGGGATGCCATGGAGAGGAGGAGGAGGAAGAGGGTGGATCTGAGGATTGAGATTGGTAGGAATGCAGTAGGGGTGGGTTTATTGGGTTTTCTCATGGTGGGTGGGGATGAATTTTAGGAATTTATATAGCAATAATAAGGGAGGTTTGTTTTGTTTGTTTTGTTGGGGGGTAATTTTAGTTTCTATGGAAATGGTGGTGTGCTGGATGTGTTTCGTGGGTGTGCTTGGAATTGTGTGGAGAGGTAATTTGGGTGATGAGGAGTGGAAGCATGGAAAAATGATGGTTCACTCCACGTGAACGTGACGTGAAGAAGGGGAATTAGTAACTGGCAGAGCAACGGTTGGTCATTCAATTGAAATGTTGGTGATGGCGGGACATTACTGTTTCTCTGGACATTGTCGCCGGATCGGACACGACACGACTCGTCTGCACTTCAAACACGGATTCAAAATCTTGGTCCACCTGCTTATAGGTGTGTTTTAGATTTACAAATTTATATACAGAAAATTAAATTTATAAAATAAACTAATAATAATCTTTATAAACATGTATTTTTTATTTTTTTAAGAATACTAAAATATTAAAATAATTACATAATAGAAACTTTAAACATAAAATTTTTATATTTTTATATTAGAAAATTAATCTAACAGTTTTTTTTTCAAAATAATATTAAAAAATTATTAATTTACACCCACTCCCATTTCATTTATTCAAATAAACTTATTTATTTTGTAAGGTCAGAATATGTAAAATGGGAACAAAAAATGCACTCAGGAGGAGTCGGTTCCTTCCGAGTTCTGATTTTGTTTTGATTTTTTTTTTATGCTTATTTATATATATTTACATATTTATATTTATATTTATATATATATATATATATACACATTTATATATTGATATAATTAAATATTATTATATTTATATACGATAGTAATTTAATAATTATATATTTTAAATATTTATATATTTTGTATATATATATATATATAATATAATTATAAATTTAGATATTATATATATATAGTTAAATATTAGTATATAAATATATTTAGACATTTATATTAATATATTTTTATATGTTTAGATAATTCATATATTAATATTTATTTAATAATTATAGATTTCTATATTTAAATATTGATATCATTGTATTTTTTATATATTTATATATTTAAATTTTAATATTTAGCATATTTATATTTATAAATATATATATATATATATATAATTTGATAAGTATATATTTATATAATTAGATATTAATACATTTAGATACTTATATAATTATATATTAACATATTTGTATATTTATATTATAATTATTTGATTTGTTATGGTTAAGTAATATTAAAAATAAAAGAAAATTGATTTTAAAATGTTATTATAATATTAGAATTATAAAGAAATAATATAAAATTGAAAATTTATTTATTAAATTGAAACACACAGAAATAATAGATGATACAAGAAATATATTAATTTTGTGGACTGGGTAATGTTATAACACATTCTTTTTGTGTGACTAATTATGTGACAAAATGAATAAAGTTTGGAACAAGATTGATTTTTCGTGATGTCCATTTTTGTTCTTATTCGTCTTGACTTTAAAAGACTTTTTGCAGTTCTCTTTATTTATAGATTTGTATTCAAAATTCGTCTCGTGTAATATGACCAATAATCTTCATTTCTTAATTCTCCGATTAGTCCATCATAGATCTTATCGACTTGTACTAAAGTATAAACAAGGTTTATGTAGTTGGTAAGATCAGTACATGTTGCAATTAACTATTACATGTGAACATGAGAAATGAAATTTTTGAAATTTACCACAGTCACGCCATGATTCGTCTAGTCTTTCTACAAATCGGCCTATTGGTCTAACTTCTATTGGATTGAAGGTTTCCTCTACTAGAAATCTTGTACTCATCCGATCAAACTCAATCACTGTATGAGTGTTTACCTTTGCATGTGCATCATCTAAAGTCTTGGTCGTCACTTCAGCATATACGTGTCCAACAACAATCATGGCCGCCACTTCTCTACCTTGGTGAGAACTTATTGCAATATATATAATTAAGTTGTTGTCACCAAGGAGGAAATAAGACGGTTTATTGTCTTTTTTAGGATTGAATTGATTGACTTTGCACAATTGGTGGTCATCTGTCTTCAATCTCGACCGTTGTCCCAAACTAGTGTCTACTTCTCCTTTGGGATTTCATCCAACTATGTTATTGCCTTCAGATCTTCATTTCTTACTATGTTATAATAGTAGAAAAATCTTAGCTCAATCATTTCATATGTTTACAAAATAATTGAAATAAATCAATTACTAAGTACTTGAGTTAATTAAAACATAATAAAAATAATGAGCTTAGAAAATAACAAAAGTTACCCATGTTGATAACATCCTTTTTAAGTGAATTTTTCTTGAATCTCCTCATGAAATTTCGTTCAATGTGTCGAATATAATACACATGCATAAAATTGTTTTTTGTCCAACCGCTGCACTCTCTTGAGTAAGCACTTCGTATGAACTTATGACGGTCAGAAATGAGGCACAATCCATCTTGTGGGTGATGTATCTCCTTAGGTTCTTAAAAAAAGAAGAACCAAGCATCAACGGTTTTCCCCTCGACTATAGCAAAGGCGATTGAGAGTATGTTGTTGTGATCATCTTATGCTACTACAACCAATAAAGATCTTCTATATTTTCCATAGTTTCCATCCACTTGCACTAAGACTTGTAGTATTAAAAACCATCTATGCATTGTTTAAAGGACTAGAAGACCTTTTTGAAGAAGACATGGTTCTCAACCAGCTATTGTCCTTGGTATGTTGGACGTGTGTTTATCTTCCATATAAATCTATGAACATATACTTGCATAGCCTTCAGAAGATGTGACAATTTCTTGTACGACTCCTCCCAATTGTCATATATTTTCTCGATGGCTAACTGCTTCACTAACCATATCTTTCGATAAGTGACCGTATATCCTTGTATAGACTTAATATGTGCAATTATGGTTTACACAGGGGATGAACAATCAACTTCCACAATTTCTTGGATTGTTTGAGAAATAAGGTGTGATCCCAACTTGTTATGATCTTGAGAAATTAATGGGGACACACAAGTGTGACTGCCTTCCAACTTCATTAATTGCCAATATTGCTCTCTTGTTCGCAATATTGTTATGCACCTACACTCACACTCTGGATGAATACACTGCACTATAAACCTGGATTGACTTGAAATTTGCACCTTGTATGTGTAATGGTGCATGATGTGGAACCTATTTATTGTGTTTTGTGACATCTTATTTGTTGTTAAAACTTTGACCAACAAACAATGTCCCAAGGGGGTATGCAAATGTTTCTCGGTTAAGAACATGGACAAATTCGAGATCAATGTCATTCATGGTACAATGAATTTTGGTAAATTTTTCGGGTGGGTTGTAAGTGACTTGGGTAGTTTTGATGGCAAGTTCTAGTCAGGGTTCTTCATCATCTTCCTCATCTACACTATTAGTGAGGATGCCATCTTCGTCGTCGTTGAAAGAGTCATAAGTTTTGAATGGAAGGCCTAATATGACATGTTCTTCCATGGATGGGTTGGCTGAAAATGTGAGGTTGATTCAAAAACTGGGGTTGGTCTTGTGAAATTGTGTGTAGGTTTGAAGATTTGATTCCCAAGAAGTATAAAAGGAAGGATTATTTTCGCATAGGTTTGGTGGTGAAGGGTGGTAAGAAGATTCAGGTTGTGGACGATAAGAAAATTCAGGTTGTGGGTTGAGTTCTGGTTCAGTTACGTATAGAGGCAAGGAAAAAAAAACTGGCATTTGGGTTGAGATGAACGATCTTGAAACGTAACAAATAACTCAATGTTAGTGAAAAATACCTCAGATCTGGAAATGTTGAACATGATGTTGATGTTGTCATCATTATTAAGCTCAACGACAGTGTACTTGCATATCCCTGCACCAATTCTCAATGGGTAGTGAAAGTGAATCAATGCCACATTTTCATGAGATCATTTATGTAACACATTAACAACCTTCTTCTTCAATCTTTGCATTGACATTCCTTTCCTAATGGAAAGAATTTTTGGTGATGGTGATTAGCATGACACTCCTTCGATGTCAGTGATATCCATGATACTGTCATAATGAATAAGGGAAATTTGTGAAGACATGATTTTGTAAATGTAACTAAGACAAAGATTTAAAGAAGGGTTGATGAGAGTTTTAGAGATAAGTTAGACATATTTTGAGAGAATAATGAAGGAGAGTTTTAGATATGGGTGCAGTTGTGATATTTATAGGAGATTCAATTTTTCAAATCTCAACCATTAAATTTAATACAGTCAAGTCTCAACCACCAAATTCAATATAGTAAATTCATAACCACAAAATTTAAGACAGTCAAGTGAGAACAACCACATTTAAGATGGTCAAGACATAACCACCAAATTTAAGATGGTCAAAATACAACCACCAAATTTAAGACGGTCAAGGAGCTGACGTGACACAGAGTTGACATGGACTGTGCTAATTGAGGAGCTGACGTGGCACAATGTGGCGCATAATACACATGGACTCTGTTGTTCTTGTGCACGAGGATGTGACAACACATTAATCACATGCTAAACGAGGAGTTAACGTGTCACACGCGTGCCGTAGAGCTCACATGGACTCTACTGTTCTTAGGCACCAAGGACATGACAACACTACACATGAGTAAGTCAAGTTTGACCACATGTTGACCGAGGAACTGACATGACACACATGTAGCGCAAAGTTCACATGGACCTTGTTGTTCTCATGCACCGAAGACATGACAACACTTTACACATCAATCAGTTAAACGTTCAATTTGACCACACGTTGATAGAGGAGCTAATGTGACACTCGTGTGGTTCAAAGCTCACATAGACCTTACTAATCTTGTGCACCAAGGACATGACAACACATTTCACAATAGTCTCATCACATGTTAACCGAGGAGCTAACGTAGCACCTGCGTGGTGTAGAGCTCACATGGACCCTGTTGTTCTCGTGCACCGAGGACATGACAACACACTGCACATTAATAAGT